GCTAATTTACTGAGTGTATTTATTAGACAGGTTTTAATATACTGTTTATGGTTTTCTAAATATAAAATTGTATAATCTGCAAACAGCAACTTTTTACTCATTTTTCTTTAATTTCAATGGATTTAAAAACATTTTTTGACTAATTCTTCTGCCACATACTTCCAGTGCTACATTAAAATAGAAGCATTGACAATGGGCACAATATAGCTTTGTATTGGTGTCTGAAGTTGATGGAGCAAACACCTCTTCAAGTTTTCATACACTGATTTTAGAAGATAAAGATCATCTTTTGTTGGGCCCTTAGGGTGATGAGATGCCCTCTGAATTTGTAGTGAAGAGGGGTTGTAGCTTGGTCACAAGGCTGCTGGGTCTGCAGAAACTGAGTAATTGAACCACTTCAGGGACCCCTGTACAGGCCAAGGTCTGCAGGCCTGCCTGCATGGCTATAAATATGTGCCTTCCTCCAGGTCTTTGGAATGGCAAGACCTCTGCCAGACTGTGGCTGGAAGGAGTTTCGGATGATTACAGAGTAAGTTCAGAATTCTTAGTGGGACCAAGTTGGGTGAACCCTATCCTGGTCTGTAGCCAAGAACAGTGGTCAGGTAGTTTTCCATCCTAATGAGGGCCTGCCTTCTGAATAGAACACTTCTCAACCTTAAGCTTTAACAGAGTTTCACAACTCCATCCCTGGATCTCAAATCTCTCATAGAGGCACTTATTTTAGAGATGACATCTTGCTACATAACACAGGCTGGTCTCGAAATCCTGGCCTGAAGCTGTTCTCCATCATTGATGTACCATGTAGCTGTCATTACAAGTGTGAGCCATAATGCCTGGTTCTCTAATAAAGGCATGTATTTATTTCTCTGAGACTCACTCTCTCCTTCAGGCTGGAGTGCAATGGCGCCATCTCACCTCACTGCAACCTCTGCCTCCCGGGTTTAAGCAACTGTCCTGCCTCAGCCTCCTGAGGAGCTAGAATTACAGTCGTGTACCACCACAACCGCCTATTTTTTTTTTTTTTTTTTTGTATTTTTAGTAGAGACAGGGTTTCATCATGTTTGCCATGCTGGTCTCAAACTCCTGACCTCGTGATCTGCCCATCTCAGCCTCCCAAAGTGCTGGGATTAAGGGCATCAGCCACCGTGCCCAGCCAATAAAGGCATTTTTGTCAGGGATGGCTGATTTTTTTTTTTTTTGCTGTAAGGGGATATAAAAATAGGGCACTTTTAATCTTTTCATCTTACTGATGTCACTCTCCCTATACCTTCTATTTTCTACTTCAAATTTGTCTGTAATTTTAGATTTACATATTTAGGACAGTATGCTAGAATTTGCATGTTATGCCTGAAGTGAATTACATAATTAATAGGCACTCTATATTTACCAAAATAGTTACTTATAAATTTAAGTTTGCTGCAGGCAAGAAGGAATTACAGGATTTTCATCTACTTTCTTCAGCCTATATCTAAATAATAACAGTTGATTTCCTAATATTTTCTTTCACGTATCAGAGTGCCTAACCCTATTCTGCAAAGTATACGTTTATATTTTCTGTGTTTAACAATGTAAGGCTATTATTGGCTTCTCAAGTTGGATTGCAGCAGTTTCATTTTGTGTGAGAATAGCATATATTTTAAACTTAACAAGTAACCCTAGTTTCTTTTAAATGCTTATTTATTAAAAGCTTCTCACAGCTGGGTGCCGTGGCTCACGACTGTAATCCCAACAGTTTGGGAGACTGAGGCGAGCGGATCACGAGGTTAGGAAATCGATACCATCCTGACTAACACAGTGAAACCTCGTCTCTACAAAAAATACAAAAAAAATTTAGCCGGACGTGGTGGCAGACGCCTGTAGTCCCAGCTACTGGGGACGCTGAGGCAGGAGAACGGAGTGAACCCAGGAGGCGGAACTTGCCGTTAGCTGAGATCGCATCACTGCACTCCAGCCTGGGCGACAGAGAGAGACTCCGTGAAAATTTTCTGCTGCTTTTGTTATCTACATAAACAAAGATATCACCTGCAAATAATAATTAACTAATTTCCAGTTTTATTCATTACAAATATTTTTATTTAACATCTTTTTTTCTGGCTTATTTTTCCTTTATGCACCATTTTATACATTCACACACACATAGGACAATAGAAATATATCCAATTACTTGATTTTGGTTGAATTTTCATTAAAATAAGTGTTAACAATGATTATTGTTTTCTGTTTGAAGAGGGCTTTTATTGCTATACTTAAGAGTGTTGTTTCTGGAGACAAAGCTGCCTATAATTTAATAGGCAGATTCTGAAAAAAATTTGACACATAAGCCATAAAATTTTACATTAATAAATAAAAGACAAAGCAGAAAGCATAGATTTGCTTTCAGCATTCTGGAGGTGCTTAGTTTTTTATTAACCACCTTATTAAAATAATTTGTTTTGTTCCAATAATTGTTCTTTCTCCTGAAAATAAAAATTTAACCTATGGGAACAATATTCTTACATTCATTTGCTGTTTAAAGCCACTGGCAAAGTGATTAGTAGAGATATTACTTTATTATGTACCAAATAGTATATTGCTACCATCTTTTACCTACACCTTTTAGTTAGTGGCATTAATAATGCTTCATTAAATGCACAATAGTCTTAACATAGTAAAAAAACATCAAATTAAATTAAGTTCACTCATAATCTAACAATTTTTAAATGTACTGCATTTTGTTACATAAAAGTACAAGTACTATATACTAATTTAGTTTAATATACTTTTCTCTATAATTATTTCTCACTATAATGTAGAAAAGGATTACTCTGAACACCTACCTTATACATTACTTAATATAGGTTAACTACAAAGAGCCTCTCCACTTATATTTTCATCATACATCTTACATTTTAATGTCCTTACTTGTATAGAAAAGGTCATAAACGCCCAACTAATAAAAAAGTATCGCTAATATATCTGATGCAGCAAAAATTGAACATATGCTTTCACATGTAAATACAGTAAGAACAAAATAACAGCATAAAGTAATTTGAAAGCTGGATTACCTCATTATTCACTTTTCAGAAAAAATTTTTTAAGGAAGCAAGTATACTTTATTTTTTTTTTGAGATGGAGTCTTGCTCTGTCACCCAGGCTGGACAATGGTGTGACCTCAGCTCACTGCCATCTCCGCCTCCCGGGTTCAAGCAATTCCAGTTCTCTGCCTCAGCCTCCCAAGTAGCTGGGATTATAGGCGCCCATCACCATGCCCAGCTAATTTTTGTATTTTTAGCAGAGACAGGATTTCACCATCTTGGCCAGGCAGGTCTTGAACTCCTGACCTCATGATCCACCTGCCTCGGCCTCCCAAAGTGTTGGGATTACAGGTGTGAGCCACCGTGCCTGGCTGGAACAAGTATACTTTTAATGTAATTACAATGCTTCTAAAAATCTACTTTTAGTTATACACAAATAGTTTTTGTTTGTTTGTTTGGAGACGGAGTTTCACTCTTGTTGCCCAGGCTGGAGTGCAATGATCTCGACTCTCAACCTCTGCCTCCCAGGTTCAAGCCTCCTGAGTAGCTGGGATTACAGGCATGTGCCACCACGCATGACTAATTTTATATTTTTAGTAGAGATGGGGTTTCTCTGTGTTGGTCAGGCTGATCTCAAACTCCCGACCTCAGGTGATCCTCCCACCTCGGCCTCCCAAAGTGCTGGGATTACAAGCATTAGCCACCGTGCCCGGTCACAAATAATTATCTAAAAAGTGTTTCCAAATTCATTACATTTGCAGGAATCTTCTTCAATATACATTCCCCGATGTTGAACAAAGCTTGGCAACCGCTTTAGGGTTTCCTTCCAATACAAAATGCGTGCAATAAGATCTGTAATACAGTGCCGGGCGCGGTGGCTCAAGCCTGTAATCCCAGCACTGTGGGAGGCTGAGACACGTGGATCACGGGGTCAGGAGATTGAGACCATCCTGGCTAACACGGTGAAACCCCGTCTCTACTAAAAAATACAAAAAACCAGCCGGGCGAGGTGGCGGGCGCCTGTAGTCCCAGCTACTCGGGAGGCTGAGGCAGGAGAATGGCGTGAACCCGGGAGGCGGAGCTTGTAGTGAGCCGAGATCCGGCCACTGCACTCCAGCCTGGGCGACAGAGCCAGACTCCGTCTCAAAAAAAAAAAAAAAAAAAAAAATCTGTAATACAAGCAAAGGTACTACAAACCCCTTTATATTTGTAATGCTTGTCTTCAGAATCAATACTCTTCTTCACCTTAAAGGCTTATATTTTCTGAAAGATTTTTTTCCACAGTAATTTCTCTTTTATTTTTAATAACTATGAACCATCTTACGTTGACTAAGATGTGATGGGCATTAATGGCTTTTCCATATTCTTTATATTTGTACAATTTTTCTCAAGGATAATAGCTTTCCTATGAAATAAGGTGTAAGCACTGATTAAAAGTTTTGCCACATTCTTCATACTTGTGCATGTTTTGGAAGTATGAATTACCTTACCTACAATAAAGTGTGGCAACCATATAAAGGCTCTGTCACATTTCGTACATTTCTATGGTTTCACAGAGTATAATTTTCTTTAATGCGTAGAAAAGTTGGAGGTGTTGGGAAAAGCACTGTCACATCTTTCAGGTTTGTAGGGTTCCTCTTCAGCATGAATTATCGCCATGTCTCTTAAGAATTGAGAACTTGTGGCTGGGAATTGAGGCTCATGCCTGTCATCCCAGAACTTTAGAAGCCGAGGTGAGTGGATCACCTGAGGTCAGGAGTTCAAGACCAGTCTGGCAAATATGGCAAAAGCCTGTCTCTACTGAAAATACAAAAACGAGCTGGGCGTGGTGGTGGGCACCTATAATCCCAGCTACTCAGGAGGCTAAGGAAGGAGAATGGCTTTAACCCGGGAGGCAGAGGTCGCAGTAAGCTGAGATTGTACCATTGCACTCCAGCCTGGGTCACAAGAGTGAAACTGCATCTCAAAAAATAAATAAATGAATAAAAATAAAAGAACTGAGAACTTGTTATAGGCTTTGCCACATTCTTCACATTTGTAGGGTTTCTGTCCAGTATGAATTACGCATAATAAGGGTTAAGAACTTCCTTAAAAAGTTTTGTCGGCCAGGCACAGTGGCTCATGCCTGTAATCCCAACACTTTGGGAGGCCAAAGCAGGCAGACCACCTGAGGTTAGGAGTCTGAGACCAGCCTGACCAACATGGAGAAACCCCATCTCTACTAAAAATACAAAATTAGCCAGGTGTGGTGGCGCACGCCTATAATCCTAGCTACTCAGGAAGGCTGAGGCAGGACAGCTGCTTGAACCCAGGAGGCGGAGGCTGTAGTGAGCCAAAATTGCACCATTGCACTCCAGCCTGGGGAACAAGAGCGAAACTCGCTCTCAAACAAAACTAAATAAATAATAATAATAAAATAAAGCTTTGTCACATTCTTGGTTTCTGTCCAATATGAATTCTCTTATGTTTATTAAGGTCTGAGGACCAGTTAAAAGCTTTGCCACATTCTTTACATTTGTAAGGTTGCTCTCCAGTATGAGCTGCCTTATGTTCCGTTAGATTTGAGGATGTAGTATAGGCTTTGCCACATTCTTCACATTTGTAGGGTTTCTCTCCAGTATGAGTTCTCCTATGTTTATGGAGGCCTGCAGACCACGTAAAAGCTTTGCCACATTCTTCACATTTGTATGGCTTCTCTCCAGTATGAATGATCTTATGCATAGTAAGGTGTGAGGAACGGGTGAAGGCTTTGTCACATTCTTCACATTTGTAGGGTTTCTCTCCCGTATGAATCTTCTCGTGTTTACGAAGGATTGAGGATGAAATAAAGGCTTTGCCACATTTATCACACTTGTATGGTTTCTCTCCAGTATGAAGTTTCTTATGTGAAGAAAGAGTTGCAGGATGGTTAAAAGCTTTGCCACATTCTCTACATTTGTAGGGTTGTTCTCCAGTATGGATTATCTTATGTGTAGTAAGGGTATAGGAGTACTTAAAGGCTTTGCCACATTCTTCGCATTTGTATGGTTTCTCTACAGTATGAATTTTTTTATGTGTAGTAAGGGTACAGAAGTACTTAAAGGCTTTGTCACATTCTTCACATTTGTAGGGTTTCTCTCCAGTATCCATTTTTTTATGTGTAGTATGGGTTGAGGACTGGTTAAAATTTTTGTCACATTCTACATATTTCAAAGTTTTTCTTTCAGTATGTCTTCTCTTATGTCTGTTTGAATTTGAAAATTGATGAAAGACTTTCACATATTTACCACATTGAAACATTTTGCTCTGGGTAGTTGTCAAACATTGGTTAAGCCCATTGTGACCTCTTTTGTGTACCTCACACTCATCCACACTTTCACAGCCTTTTTTAAACTGTAAATTGCCATGTCCACATTTTTCAAATTTTCTAAGTATCACTTTTTGGAAAGAATCTTTTATGCTCTCCTCTGGCTGAAGGTCTTGGGCAAAATGAGAACACACAACTGAAAGAAACAACAAAAACACATTACTTCAATTGGTAGACTCAGATAAATACACTTTACAAATCTAACCTATAAAGTTATAAAAACTACATAAGCAAGATGACATAGCAAAATACCTCAAGCTGTGTAAGCATAAAGCAAACAGTCACAAACAAGATAAAGAAAAGTCTGTTACTTATATGCAACAGCTCTTCTTGCTCCCCAGCATAACATTGTGCCTTTAAAAGTAAATTGCCAACCTGGTGCAGTGGCTCACGTCTGTAATACCAGTGCTATGGGAGGCTGATGTGAATCACTTGAGGTCAGGAGTTCAAGGCCAGCCTGACCAAGATGGTGAAACCTATCTCTACTAAAATTACAAAAAGTTAGCCAGTCATGGTCATCGGCAGCTGTAATCCCAACTACTCAGGAGGCCAAGGCATGAGAATTTCTTGAATCCAGGAGGCGGAGGTTGCAGTGAATCGTGACAGAGTGAGACCCTATCTCAAAATTAAATGAGGCCGGGCGTGGTGGCTCATACCTGTAATCCTAACACTTTCAGAGGCAGAGGTGGGCAGATCACCTGAGGTCAGGAGTTTAAGACGAGCTTGGCCATCATGGTGGAACTCCGTCTCTACTGAAAATACAAAAAAATTAGCCAGGTGTGGTGATAGGTGCCTGTAATCCCAGCTACTCGGGAGGCTGAGGCAGGAGAATTGCTTGAACTCGGGAGGCGGAGGTTGCAGTGAGTTCACGCCATCGCACTCCAGCCTGGGCAACAAGAGTGAAACTCCATCTCAAAATAAATAAATACATTTAAAAAAAAAAAGCTATAGAATGCCTCGGTGGTTTCTTTAAAAGCATACAGTATGCTGCATACAAGAGATTCATTGTAGCATTGAGTCAAATAGGCTGAAAGTAACAGAAGGAAAAAAATGTGTATTTCATAAAAATAGTAACCACAATTGAGTGAAGTGGTCATGATTGTATTAGACATAATATGCTATGGGTCAAGTACTACCATTAGACAAAGAATGACATTATATTATGGCAAAGTGAGTTAATTTACCAGGAATCTGTAACTATATTATTTATCTATCTATATGTATATGTGTACATAGCATCAGGGCTCCAAAATATAAAAAGCAAATACTGACAAAAGTGAAGCAAGATATACATAGCAACATAATAATTGTAGACATCAAGACCCCATTTGCAATAATAAATAGGAAATTCAGAGAAAAAATGAGAAACAGAAAACTTAGGAAACATTATAGACCACATTATTTTGCATACAGAGGAATACTTGAGAGTGCATAATTTTTAAAGAAAAATAATTTATGTGGCTCACGGTTTGGCAGACTATAAGAAGTGTGTGCCAGCATCTGCTTCTGGTGAGGGTCTCAGGAAACTTACAATCATGGTGGAAGGTAAAGAGTAAATGGACATACTATATGGTAAGAGACAGAGGAAGTGTGAGGTGAAGGAGCCAGGTTCTTTTAATGAACCAGCTGTCATTGAATTAATAGAGTGTAAACTTTTGGTTACAAAGAGAATGTACCATGCCATTCATGAGCAATTTGCCTCCATGACACAAACATGTCCCACCAGATCCCACATCCAACAGTGAGGATTCATTTTGCAGCATGAGGTCTGGAGAACATGGACATGCAAATAATATTATAGACCAACTAGGCTTCACAGACACATGCAAAACTCTCCAGTCAAAACCAAGATAATACACAATATTCTTATTTGCATCTGGTATATTCTGTTAGGACACATACCAAGTTTTATTAAATTTAAAAGTACTGACCGGGTGTGGGTGCAGTGGATCTTGCCTATAATCCTAACACTTTGGGAGACCTAGGTAAGAGAATCCATTAGGGCCAAAAGTTTGAGACCAGCCTGGACAACATAGTGAGATCCCAACACTACAAACAAGCAAACAATTAACCAGACATGGTAGTGCATGACTGTAGTCCAAGCTACTCATAAAACAAAGGTGAAAGGATCACTTGAGCCCAGGAAGCTGAGGCTATAGTGAGTCAAAAATATGCCACAGCACTCCAGCCTCGGTGTTGGTAAGATCTTGTCTTAAAATAACAATAAATCAATTTTAAAACACTAAAATTATACATTGTGTGTTTTCTAACAAAAATTGAATGACACTAGGAATTAAAAGCAAAAGGCAAACTGGCAAATTCAAAAATATGTGAATATAAAACGCACTCTTCAACATATTCTCGCTCAGGGGTCAAAAAATTTTATTCTTCACAGATGTCAATACAACCTACAGTTAAAAGCTACAGTAACATAAACAATGTGATACTGACACAAAGATAAACAGATGAAAGACCAGAACAGAGAGCTCAGAAATGAACCCTTCTGCATATGATAAAATGATCTTTCAAAAAGTTGCCATGAGTACAAAATAGAGAAAAGTAATCTCTTCAAAAAATGATGCTGAAAACTGAATATCAACACCGATAAAATAAAGTTGGATTAAGTGTCTTGAATGATACAAATATATATATATACATTTTCTGAGACGGAGTCCTGCCATGTCGCCCAGGCTCCAGTGCAGTGGCGCGATCTTGGCTCCCTGCAAGCTCCGCCTCCCGGGTTCACCATTCTCCAGCCTCAGCATCCCGAGTAGCTGGGACTACAGGTGCCCGCCACCATGCCTGCCTAATTTTTATTGTATTTTTGGTAGAGACAGGGTTTCGCCATGTTAGCCAGGATGGTTTCGATCTCCTGACCTCGTGATCCTCCCACCTCTGCCTCCCAAAGTGCTGGGATTACAGGCGTGAGCCACTGCTACCGGCCCCAAAATATATTTTAAACAAAATACTTAGACATAACTAACAAGTCTATTAGAAAAGATACAGGAAAGCCAGGCGCAGTGGCTCACACCTGTAATCCCAGCACTTTGAGAGGCAGAGGTGGGCAGATAACCTGAGGTCAGGAGTTCAAGATCAGCCTGGGCAACACGGTGAAACTCCATCTCTACTAAAAATACAAAATGAGCTAGGCATGGAGGCACATGCCTGTAATCCCAACTACTCGGGAGGCTGAGGCAGGAGAATCGGTTGAACCTTGGAGGCGGAGGATGCGGTGAGCCGAGATCGTGCCATTGCACTCCAGCCTGGGAATAGAGTAAATCTGAGTCTCATCGAAAAGAAAAAAAAAAAGAAAGAAAGAAAAAATACAGGAAAAAAACAGGACATTGGTCTTGGCACCATTTTCTTAGATACGACATTAAATGCATGAGCAACAAATACAAGAACAGAAAAGTTTGACTACACTAGACATCAAAATTTCTATACATCAAAAGAAAATTCCAAAGTGGCAACCTCCCTTAAAAAATGGATGAAAACATTTGCAAATTTCATGTGAAGGAAGTTAATAATCACAATAAATAAACAACTCTTTAAACAATAAAGTTGAATAACTTGATTTAGAAATGAACAAAAAAAATTTCAACAAAAAACTACACAAATGGGAAAAAGCATTTGAAAGAATGCACGAAAATACTGATTTGTAGAGAAATAAAAAAAAAAAAACACACAATGACAAACAAAATCACCTCATATCCATTAGAATGGCCGCTGTAAATTTTTTTTTTTTTTTTTTGAGACGGAGTCTCGCTCTGTCGCCCAGGCTGGAGTGCAGTGGCCGGATCTCGGCTCACTGCAAGCTCCTCCTCCCGGGTTCACGCCATTCTCCCGCCTCAGCCTCCCAAGTAGCTGAGACTACAGGCGCCCGCCACCACGCCCGGCTAGTTTTTTGTATTTTTAGTAGAGACGGGGTTTCACCATGTTAGCCAGGATGGTCTCGATCTCCTGACCTCGTGATCCACCCGCCTCGGCCTCCCAAAGTGCTGGGATTACAGGCTTGAGCCACCGCGCCCGGCCTAAATTTTTTTAAAAACTCCTAATTAGTTGATGTTGCAATAAAAATGAAACCCATGTTGCTTGCTGCTGGAAAACAAAGATGCAGCCATTATTTTAAAATGTTATAAATGTTCCTCACTTATTGTATCTATATACAAAATATGTAACACAGGCCAGGCCCAGTGGCTCAAGCCTGTAATCCTAGCACTTTGGGAGGCCAAGGTGGGCAGACTATCTGAGGTCAGGAGTTCGAGACCTTCTTCCTGGCCAACATAATAAACCCCATTCTACTAAAAATATAAAAAATTAGCTGGGCGCCTATAATCTCAGCTACTTGGGAGGTTGAAGCAGGAGAATTGCTTGAACCCAGGAGGCAGAGGTCTCAGTGAGCTGAGATCACACCACTGCACTTCAGCTTGGGCAATAGAGCAAGACTCCTTCTCAAGAAAAAAAAAACAAGGAAAGAAAGAAAGAAAGAAAAAAAGCAACACAGGACCTGGAAGACATATCTGAATATCCATGTTTATTGCACCAGTATTCACAAAAGCCAAAAGACTGAAGCAACGCAGATGTCTCTTGATTTATAAACATATCAAAATATGTAATATATACATACAATGGAATATTATTCCACCTTGAAAAGAACAATCTTGTCACATTTTAAGATGAACACTGAAAATATTATGTCATTTGAATTAATCCAGTAACAAAATTATCGATACCATATGATACCACTTATATGAGATATCTTAAGTAGTCAAATCATAAAAACAGGAAGTGGAAAGTTTGTCTGTCAAGGGCTAGAGAGAGGGTAAAATGAGCAGTTGTTACTTAATGGGTATTGAGCTTTAGTTTTACAAGATGTAAAGTGTCTAGAAGTCTTTTACATAACAATGAGAATATACTTAACATGCCTGAAATGAATAGCTTTTTTTTTTTTTTTTTTTTTTGAGACAGGGTCTCACTCTGTCATTCAAACTGAAATGTAGTGGCACAACTTTGACTCCCCCTCAATCTCCCAAGTAGCAGGTACCACAGCTGCACACCACCATGCCTGGCAATTATTAAATTATTTTTATAGAGAGGGGTCTCCATATCTTCCCCGGGCCAGTCTCAAACTTTTGGGCTTCAGAGATCCTCCTGTGTTGGCCTCCCAAAATCCTGGGATTACAGATGGGAGCCACAACCATGCCCCTGAAAATGTACGATTGAATTAAGACGGTAAATTTTATGTTATGTGTTTTTAAAACAATTTTTTTTAAAGAAAACTGAAAAAAAAAAAAAAAAACCAGAATCACAAATCTTTTTGAAAATGACCTTCAAATAAAAGAAGCGTTTCTCTCACAAAAGGAAATATATGTTCAT